GCACGTTTGCCTCATTCTGCTGTTCTGCAGCCTGCCGTGTGGCCTTTTTCAGTCAGCCATGTCGGGCTGTGAAATGGCAGCAGATCCATATTGGACCTGAGGAAGTCATCACGTCTAGCTTGGCCCAAAGTGCTAGACCAGTGTGGTGTAGCCGTCATCCTGATGGTTATCCAGCGTGGTATTACGGTTAGAGTGTCAGGGTGGGATCCGGGAGACCCGGGAATTAGTCCCCAGTTTGCCGTGGAAACTTGCTGGGTGACCTTGGGCAGGCCACACACTCACAGCCAATGCTCTCTCTAAGCTGTGGAGTCTTGCGAGCAAAAATTCTACTTTGTGAGCTGCTGGTATTAAAGTTGCAAGCGAGCGACTTGGCTGCTGCATCAATTAGTTTGCTCCTTCCTGAGCTGAGACGAAAATCTGTGAGCTGGAGGCTAAAAAACTGTGAGCTAGCTCACTCTAACTCAGCTTAGAGGAAACACCGCTCGCAGCTACGCTCAAATCTACCACACAGGGCGAGGATAAAATGGGGGAGTGTGGTGAACAATGTCAGCTGCTTCAAGTCTCTGTTGGGGAGAAAGGCAGGGCAGAGATGAAGTAAAATAAATAAGTAAAGAAACTGGGACCAATGAGACCCAGATTCAAATCCCCACTTAGCCATGCAGCTCATTGGATGTCCTTGGGCCAATTGCATTCCCCATCAGACCAACCTACCTCACAGGATTGGTGTCAAGATATAATGGCGGAAGGAAGACGTTCATATGCTGGTCTAAGCTCCTTGGGGGAAGAGTGGGATAAAAAAAGAAATAGACCGGACCTACCTTTAACCTAATCTTTCTTGTGTAGTCTCTATCCTCTACCCCGCCCCAAGAACCTGCCCTATGAGTATCCTAAGAATTTTGCATGCTGTTAAGATGTAGGATGCTCAAGCAAAGGGTGACAAAGACGGGAAAAGGAGGTTTCATATAGCTGTGGTCAGACCCTATCTAAAACCTTTGCAAGGGATGTCACTTACCAGTTATCTCCACCACCCCATCCTTGGTCTTCACCACCAGTTCCTCTGGTGCAAAATGGTTGACGTCCAAAGCCACTTTCCAGCTGTCTGAAGTTTGCCGAATCTCGGAGATGCCGCTGCTCAGTTGGCGGCTCAGGGCCCGGTTGTATGCCGGGTTGGTGCTTGGCGAGGTGACTATGGGGCCGGCAGCTCCCTGTTCGGGGCTCACACTGGCCAGAGGACGGACGTAGCCTGGCCAACTGGTGGTCCCCACAGGCCATTTGTACCAGTCTTCGGGGATGAGGGGCATCCCAAAGGACTGGTCAAAGAGGCGGCTGCCCCGATACCAGTCCCGGAAGGGGTCCCAGCTGGGGCTGCGGAGGAAAGTGAAGGGGACTTGGCGTTCAGACATGTCTCATCCAGGAGTCGTGCTTGGAGCTCTCCGTTTGGACTCTGACTGCAGGGAGCAACAGCCGCCAGCTGGCCCTTATCAACAGACAAATGGCTATTTTTGGACATGCATTCCGAATCTCTATTAATGGAAATTATGTTCAGCCAGGGGAATTGTGGATGACTCTCTCCCAGGTCTCTACAGCATTCTCCTTAAGCGTTTGTTCCTGCTCTTCCAGACTGCCTTCTGGGGGTGGGAGGTGGGACGGGTGGTGGTGGGGAACGCAGACCAATTCCCCTTGGAGAGGAGCCGAATTTTCAAGGCTGCGTTCGCTCTTGGCAGGCTGAACGAAAGCTCAGGCCGAGAACGAAATTTCATTTGGGGAGATTGCGCTCAGCCCAAATGGAAAGAGAGACGTTCTTGTTTGTGACTTTTATTGGTTCATTAGATTGGTACCCTGTTCTCTCTCTCTCTCTAGGGCTTGGAGCATCTGACAGCAGTTTTTTCTGAAGATGCAAACATTTCTGTCTTCAAGTGCGCTCAGATCTAATGAATTACATGGTCTGGGAGCTCAAAGAGGTCAAATTACTTTTTATCACAAGAGAATCTATTTGGAAAAAAAAAACACAGGAAAAAGTACTGTTGCTCTTCCTGTGCCCCCAAAGGGCTGTTCCCAAAGGGCAAATCCCCTTTGTTGTCACCCTTTGGGGGGGATGACCGGCACCCAGGGAGCCGAAGGGAAATGTGTCACTTGGCAGAAGTGGGGTCCCAAGCCCCAAAGGAAGTGAATATCTCTAAGGGGTGGGCCAGCTCGCTGCTCTCCCTGCTGCCATTCCAGCAGTGCCGTCATGAGCTTAGGGGAAATCCCCCCCCCCCGGTTGTGCTGCCATTTGGGGGAATGGACTAGACCCTAATGGACAAGAAGGGGTTTTCCTTCCCTCCCTTCCTAACAATACCGGAAGTTGGGGTTACCAAGCGGATCAGCACAGGATTCAGAATAGACAAAAGGAAGAAGAAAAGATTGGATTTATACCCCGCCCTTCACTACCCAAGGGAGTCTCAGAGCAGCTAACAAACTCCTTTCCCTTCCCCTCCCCACCACAGACACGGCTGAGGTGGGTGGGGCTGAGAGAGCTCTGACTGAGAACTGCTCTTTTTCAAGGACAGCTCTGACAGAACTACGGCTTGCCCAAGGTCATCCAGCAGGTGCAAGTGGAGGAGCGGGGACTCAAACCCGGTTCTCCCAGATTAGAGTCTGCACACTTAACCACTACACCAAACCACTACACCCACCTCCCAGAGTGTCTGTTGTGGGGAGGGGGAGGGAAAGGAGATTGTAAGCCACTCTGAGACCCCTTCGGGTAGTGAAGGGCGGGTTATAAATCCAATCTCCTCCTCCTCCTCTTTCTTCTATACAGTTTGCAATCAACATATCTGAAGGGTCATTTACTCTCTTATGAACCTGCCTGACTGCTGTGGTCATCTGGAAGCCCTGCTTTGAGTGGCCCACTTTCTGAGATTAAGCAGTGGCAACCTGGGAATAGGGCCTTCTCAGCTGTGGCACCAAAACTCTGGAACTCTCTCCCCAAGAAGATCTGGAGCATCCACACTATGCCACCCCCAGATCATCCACTTGTTCCCCTCCTTTCCCCAAACCTGGTTTAGAATAATCTTTAGGAAAAGCACACAGTCAACATGCCTTTGCATGCTGTGGGGATGGAAAGGTGAGCACCTGTGTATATCCCCACCCACATCTGCACCATTTTCCTTGTTTCAGTACCATGTGGCTGCTACCCCTCCCCCCCAGCCACCAGAGGGCTGGTGAGCTCATGGCAGAATAGGAAAGGTGGTTCCGCACAGAAATCATGTCTGAATGGCAAGCAAATGGGAAGTCACTCTG